TGCAAACTTGTGCTATTGTCCCCAGGCCAGGGGGAGTCATGGAGACCCACTAATATGACACAGGAAAATGTTTGCTGATGGCAATTCTATGGGCTTTGTCTAACTCTTTCTCCATCATGACGACTCGATTTAAGTCTCTAACTGTTTGACTACAGATGCAAGAGTACTATCCAACTCCATCCTTTTGTTCGGGTAGTTTGAATGGGTAATTCAGCTTTTGTGTAACTCAATTGAGGGGGCAAACATAAAGACAAGATTCTTGAGCGCTCAAGCTCCCTTTCCATGGATATCTGCACATCTCTTTAGAGATTTGTTCCTTTCCTACCTTTTTCTGACATCATCCTCCCCTTAAAAAAAAAAAAAGGCTCTGATGGGGAACGGTTAAAAGTAGGCTAGTCCAGTCCCCCGTATTACATTGTCCTGTGCCAATGAAGCATGGTTAGTATCAGCCCCCAGAGAGCTTTGGGGAGTGCAGGGAAAAGGGTGTCTAAACTTTCCTAACTCGTCCTCATCCTGAAGCATTTTCTCTTAGATTGTGTTGTTTTTAAAAGAAAGGCTTCCGTAGGGGTGAAGAGGATGGGGAGAATGGTAGAAATCGTGGGGAAATGATTGTATTTATTAGCTGTCTTTCTGCGGCTGTCCCCATGGAGACAATTTGTGATGGCAAAGAATGCAAGGAGGGGAGGCTGATGCCTGATTGGGATGCTTTGTATTTGGCAAAGTGGCTTCTGATTGGCCTGGGAGAGCCCCGAACTCGCCGGAGTCGATATTCATTCAGCTTGCTCAAGTGCTTGCTAAACTGCATCCAAACACTGGCGGGCCCTGGCTGCCTCCGCCGAGGTTGGCGGTGTGTAACCTGCCTAACGAGATTAGCAGGGAAGGGGCTCTTCTCTGCAGCGACGCGGCCGCCAGCACCGGTGAGAAAAGCTGCCGCGCGCCGGGTGAGTGTCCGTGCTTGCTTACAGGGAGGCCACCCCGGCTTCTGCCCACTTCAGAGCTATCTAACAAGATTAGGCGCCGAGCTGGCTGGCATTCATGAGCCAGTCCCCGTGCCGGTGTGTGCTGGGGCAGCAGTGCGGGGCGGTGGGCTGCGGGCACGCGTCGGCTGCGACAGGAGTTTGCCTGCAAGGAGGCGAGCTGACGGACAACTTGTTTGGGTGGCTGAGAACTTTGACACGTCCCCCCACCTTCCCTCCATTTGCTTGGTGCTATTTGAACCAAAGCTTCTTGCTCTTAAGTCTGCCCGTCATGTTTTGCAGGTTTGCCAAGGTTTGTCCAAAGGCGGATTATAAACTTTTCATGAGAAACTCTGCACGGTGCATCCAGTGAAATGGCATCAGACAGTGAGGTAAAAACCCTACTGAACTTCGTCAACCTGGCCTCCAGCGACATCAAAGCGGCTCTGGATAAATCAGCTCCTTGTCGCCGGTCAGTTGACCACAGAAAATACTTACAGAAGCAGCTCAAGCGGTTTTCTCAGAAGTACTCACGGATGCCACGGTGTCACCCCAGCAAACCCCCTGAGTGTGGCTGGCGCAGGGGGGCAGAGGATCGAGGCCATGGCCCCCAGCCCGAGGCACCTGACCCCAGCCCCCATGGTGGGGCTGCCGCCGAGAAGGTGATGCAGACAGCCGAGGCAGAGGAGAGCCTCACTGGGGAACGGGTTTTGCAGGAGCAAAAACCTGAGGCTGTCCGGCCAGACCAGGTGCCCATGAGGAAGCGACAGCTCCCTGCCTCCTTCTGGGAAGAGCCACGGCCAGCTCAGAGCCTGACAGCCAGGGCCTTTCCTGCCAGTCCTGAGGGGCTCCCAGCCCCCAGAGACCCTCCTCCCTATGAGGGGAAGAAAAGCAAATGGAGCCCAGATGCTGCTAGCCCAGAGAGCCCTCCTGACCCTGCACCACATGCCGGGGAGAAGGACCCTGCCGGGGTCCTCTCAGGCCGGGTGGGTGCCTGGACCTGCTGCCCCTTCCCTTGCCCCGGGACAGGGGTGTACCAGCCCCCGGGAGCGCTGCCCCCATCGCCCTTCCCAGGGCTGGGACTGTGGAGGAAGAGTGCAGCCACACTGCCGGCGGAGGTGCCACACTTCTGCAAGGAGGCCGATGGCACGGGGCAAAAACTCTACAGGCCCATGGTTCTGAAACCCATCCCCACCAAGCCTGCCATCCCCCCACCCATCTTCAATGTTTTTGGCTATCTTTAGCGGGGCAGTGTCAGAGTCATGCTGAACACGACAGCTCCTGAGGGTGAATTGAAACGCCCGGTCAGCCACCAGGCATGAGCTGCTGGCAGCGTGGAGCGGCAAGGGAAGGAGACCAGTGATCACACCCTCTTCCTCGTGGGCGGGCTGGGGGGAATTAGTAACTGTTGGGAAGCTACTTGGGCTCCACTCTCCTCTCAGTACGCGGGTGTAAATCGAGAATAAACCTTACGAAGCCGGTGGCATGGAGCATGAGGCAAACCAGGGCTCTTTCATGGATGGGCATTGTCTGAGGCGCGGTGAGCGGGGCTGCAGGCCATTCATAGCTGCACTTGTAACACCTAGGAGACCTCCTCCATGTGGGAACATCTTTCTGGGGCTACCCTGCAGCAGCAGCAGTGAAATGACATGAATTAAACCCATTCAAAAAGTTTTTGTACTTTAAAGTCATTCCGGAGAAGTCAAGACATTCAGGTCACTTGGTTTTGCATGCAGGAGACTGAAAGGACAGTATTTAATGTAGAAACCACACTTGTGAATGATTTAAGCTCTTGTTGTATGTAAATACTGAAAGAATTAAAAGAAAAAAATAAGGGAAGAAAGGAGGTTAATTTTATTTTGGTGATTCTGCAAATGCAGTCTGTCTAATTTTATCCCAGGGAGTAGACACAGGTTTTATTTGCAACTGGTGGGGAGATATGAGGGCTGAAATCTCTGCCTATGCAGATTGATATAAACTTAAAAGTAATTCTGATGCTGGGAAATTAGCTAGCATTAAGCTGGTGCAAATGGAAGCAGGATGAATTCCCACATCAGGAATTACTCTGCACTAACAGAACAAATGAAGAATTGTATTAGTTTAATACAAAACCATGAAGTATGATAGAAGGAAAAAAGTGTAAAGAACAGCCTGCCTTGATTTCTGGCTCACAGATGTTTTTTGTTTTGCCCGATTTTAAGATGCTATCCCAAGACCTGGCTGTAAATGTTTTGCCTAGTATTTTCCTAATTATTTCAACAAATTGGCATTGAAGAATTTATTACAATTTTTTTTAAAGTTAGGTTTCTCTTAAACCCATGGCGAAAGTGTTACTAAGACACAGAACATGAGATCTGAGATGTTTAATATTGCAGGTGTATTTATCTATTCAGTTATACTGGAGTATATCACTGAAGTCAAAAGAAGAATATTTTGAGGGGTAAAAGGGCCAGAGAATGGACACCTGTGATATCCCAAGGCCTGAACCTGTACTGTTGCTGGAGCTAATGGGAACTTCACCCAGGTTCAATAAAAAGTGGCCTTGATTGATTTGGTCTCTGACTAGTGAAGCTCTTTATGACTCCTAGTATCTCTGCAAGGGTTAAAAAACAGGCAACATTTCATTCAAGCACATTGCAGTCATGAAAAAATTATCATCTGAGGCAACTGTAGAATGCCATTTTGGATCTTCTGATGGGCCTTGGTGTTGTATAACCAGGTTGCAACTTTCGTTAGAATACGAACTACTCACAGGCTAAAAGTATTTAGTTCTTTCCCCAAACTTCACATATCCCAACAATGTTCACTTTTATGGAAACAACATCTGTAATGTGTTAGTAGAGCAAGACAAAAGTAGAATTGGAGATGGCTTTCATTGCTTTCTCCTTGCTACCAGCACTTAATATATGTATCAATCCTGCATAAACTATTCCTTTAGGAAGAGAGCAGGAGCTATCTTTGATAGCACATACCTGCAACTACATGCAAGGTATGAGGTGGTAAAGAGCTGATCTAGGGGTTAAAGACATCAAGTTAGCTCTTGATCCAGAAGTGAAGATAGGAACATACTTATATGCCTTTCCCTTTTTGGAAAAAAATCCTTGAGGAAGCTGTCCCTCTCCCCAAGGACACTAACAGAAACCAGAGGCAGTACCCCCATTGAAGTTAATTGGAGAGCAATGGCTTTTAATTTACAGAGCTGTAGACAAGGAATTTTTTACATGGAAATAAGGGTCCATCAATAGCTCTGGGTCACTGTTGTAATCCAGATGAAGCCAGATGCTGAACTCTGTCTCAGTGCTGTCAGTGCAGAGCAGCCTCCTTGGTGTTGGTCTGGGTGAGCAGAGCAGGTCATGGAATGAACTACAGGTATTGCAGAGATTGCTGTGCACAAGTGTTCCTGCTTGAATTCAGAAGGGAAATTTCACAGTGCTGTGTATCACACCAGCATATGCATTTCTATCAAAATTAAAATACTTGGCAAAGTGTATAGCCTCTGTATAAATTTTATTTCTGGAGAAATCCAGAGAAAGAAGAGAGTTAAAATCAAGTTTCTCTCTTTTGAATGTTAAATTCTTTGTTTTCTTTTTTTTCTTTTAAAGTCTTTCTTTTTTAAATGTATGTTGCTGCACATTTTCCATGTAGTAGAATAGTGTTTTTTAAAGGATCGAACCAGATCATTCTAAATGACTTCTGACTCAGATATTTATACTCTTACTCTCAGATTTAAACTAATGTTACTTTTTAAAATCCTTTGTGACATGGATGGCCCTTGCTGGGGCTTTGAACTGGAGCAGCAGTGAAGTAAAACATAAATGAACAGAAGACAATTGTTAAGTATATTCAAAATCACTGAATGGGGATGTGTGAGACTTTCTGAAAGGTTTGCAAAGAATAGCAACTCTGTCTCCTCTTTAGTAATATGTACTGTTCTCTCATCCCTGAGATTAAAATCAGAATTATTAATTGTTCAAGCTGGGATTGAATCAGAATTTTCCTGGATATTTTTGTGTTTGGCTGTTGTTATTCAGGACAGCTGATAGCTCTTCAGAATCTACTTGTTTATTCATACTTTGTTTGAAAGATGGAAACATAACATTTGAGAGCTGCTATTTACAAAAACAATGCAAATTTAAACTTTTAAAACCACAATAGCTTTTATAAATAATGGGAAGGGAGAGGTAAATGAAAAAGCTTTCATACAAAATGAAATTAAAAAAAAATCAAAAAAAGTGCACAAGAACATCAAGTGAATTGCACATTTTGCAGTAAAAAAAGTACAGTAACCTGGTCGTGAAATATTCCTAGAACATTTCACATAAATTCATTGTCTTGGAAGGAGAATATTTATCACACTCAGTAAAAACAAGCCACTTTACTTTGCACTAGAACTACTGATCTGCTTATAAAGCCTGGTTTGGTTGGGTTTTGGGCTATTTTTCTTTTCACAGTAACTTCTAAGCAGATGCATTAAAGGCACATTGAATTTGTGCAGATTCAGTATTTTGCACAAAATAGTATGTCAGTGACTGGAGCGGAGAGGTAGCAGGCTCCATTTCAGTGCAAATAGTTGTAAACTGAGTATGTGAAGTTTTGCTGTAACGATCAAGCAGAAAGGACTCAATAACATTGTAATTACCAGATTCCCCCTCTAATAGACTCTTCTCACCTCAGTTTCTGTGCACAGCATGCACTTATCCTTCCCACAATTGTGTTATATTCCCATCAGACCAGTGTTCTCCAGCTTAGTGACTCCTGCTCAGGACAGATGGTTGACAGCAAACCAGGACTTGGGTCTCCCAATAGAAATGAAGGGCTCTTGGTTGAAAGAAAAATGGGCTTTCCATATTTGTGCCATTCAAACCTAGTTTCAACTTCTCCAAGGACATAAAAAGAAATTGCAGCTTGCTAGACTGTTGTGGACACAACAGTGTTGGCTCAGGGGAAATTCCCATTTTGGGATAGCTTATGAAATCCCACTTCTCTGGTTATACCTGCAGTTGGTGATTGTGAATCCTTTCTCTCAGCCAGGGTCTCCAGTGCTGTCACCGCACACCAAACAAACACTAAAGTGGTCTCCAGCAAGCTGTGTTTGTATCCATCACCCTCTACAACTCTGCTTTGTTACACTTATTTAATTTCAGGGACTTTTCTTCTGATTTATATCAACGTAAGTAGGACCCAGGCCTTCGCTATTCAGCCTCAGAAAGTGAGAGATGGATGAACTCCACAGGTGATTTTCTGTCTCTCAAAGTACTGCTTACCAATACAGGGCCTCCACTGGCAAAACTGGTCTAGAGATTTTCTGTACCCCATCCTTTTCTCTCCACCCAGTATTTTTCTAACCTGATGAAATTCCCTGTTCACACTGGAGGAGACAAGGAGGTAGATCCTAAACTGACAGTAAAGGAAGTCACTGGATGAAACATCACCAGTGGAGGAATCTCACCTGACTTTCCAAAGCTTTGCAAGAAGATCATCGTTCAGTGTGAATTGAAACTCTGTGGGTTGTTCAACTTTCGCATCCAGGTAGGGGACAGCTGTGACAGAATGCTGTAGCTGTAACCAATTTAGGTTTGCTCTCATCCTGTCCCACAAGTGCTGAGCACATTTTGCACAAAGTCATCACAAAATCTGAACTTGTGTGCCCAGACAGACCTGTATGTGTGCAACACACTTTAGTCCTGTGTTAAGGTTTAAAACTCCACACAAATAAAAGTCAGTGCAATGCATTTTCCCTACTTACATTTCTATCTGATTCCATGCATGGTATGTAGACCAACAAATAAAACCAGATCTGCCATGTCTGGGGGGGACTCCAAGCAGACCATGATGCACAGCTCCTTTATCACCTAAGGAAAGAATGAGTGTGCTTCTAGCATAAGATCTGCATAGACATCATTCCAAAATTTCAGTTCTTTCATACTTTCTTAGGTGCCTATTCAGGAATGAAGCACTCATCAAAGCAGTTCAGCAAGTCACACCTGTCAGCTGAGCTGTAGTCACTGCCAATAACCACTCATGGGCTCCTTGGCCTCCCCAGCTGTGAGGGAATGTGACTTGTTAAAAACTTCAATAAAAGAATTTCACGGACAATTATAGTTGTTCAGCAGATAGATGGTAACTTGTTAAGCTGCCATAAATCAGTTGAGGATCTGAGCTGTAAATAGGTGACCTAATTTTCAAAGAAGCTAAGATAATAACTTTTATCAGTTTCAAAGGGAGCTAATAGATATTTCAGACTTCCAAAGTCAGAAAATTCAGGGCTAAATCCCAAGGTTTTTAGTCTACCTCACTAATAGATGACACTAAATGTGATCCGCCTGGCTTCAGTGGAACTACACCTAGTGCAAGCAACTTGACATTGTTTAGGCACCTGAATAAGGATTTGGAAGCCTAATTCTGGATATTCATTTTCATGAATTTTGAAGTCTGACTTTCATAATTTTGAAATAATTTCTCTTTCTTCCATTGATAGTATTGCTGTAGCCACAGAGGTCCAAGGAGTTAGGAAAGGCTGGGTTTTTTAGAGATAAGATCTTCTAGGGGAGGAACAGATTAAGTTTGTGTAATAGTGTTGCCTTTCTCCTTCACACCACTCTGTTCCCTGTCCTCTAGGGCTTTGTTTTGTTCTGACACCAGATTCATGACAGTGTAAACCTACTGTTTACAGTGCAGCTACTTCTAATTTACACCAAGAAAAGAAAAAAAAAGAGCTCAGATTTACTTTCAAATCCCCAGTCTAGGAAATTCTCTCAGAATGACAGAAAGCAGAATGACATTGCAAATGTAATACAGAATGAACTCCATTCACTATGTGCAAATACAGTTCTTACTTCCTCCTTAAATAAACCTTTCCTTGATTTTTAAAGGATTCATCATTTCTGGATTTTAGTCTGTTAAAGAAATCTGAGATTTGAATGTTCAGAAATCAAGTACTCTACTCAATAAGAAAGATACAAAAAAAGAAAGTAAAAGTGTTAGCAAGGTGGTGTAAAAGTATCAGAGAATTAGCAACCCGCACACTTAGCAGAAATCCAAACAATAGAATAGAAAATACAATAAAAATCTCAGTCAGTGAAGGAAATGTGATTGTCTTCCCAAATATGTTGACTCTCAACAATTTGTTAATTGTCATCACAGCAAGGATGCTAAGATTCACCACAACCCTTGGATACCTTTGTATTCCTCTCCAAATATTGGTACGACTCATTTGTCAGTGTCAGCTTTCATTTCTTGTTCTTTACAGAACAAGCGCAGAGGTGAATCATATGTGTTTGCTCTTGAAAAACCTAACAACAGTCCTATCTTTAGCTCTGTCTCCTCCATTTTCTTCTCACTCACGCTTCAAAAGCATATTTCTCTTAGATTAGTCATTGGAGGGTGCTTGACCAAGCCAGCAGCAATTCCTCCCCGCTGTGGGCCCTTGCCATGCTGGTGATGCTGGGTGCCATGCTGGAAAGCCACTGCATATCCATCGTGCCTGGGGTCACTGTCTGTAATCGTGCTGTAAGTATCGGATCAGTCTGTCTGGGAGAGGCAAGGTGTCAAGAAGCTTAATGCGATTTCTTCCAACCAGGCTTCGTACCTTGATGCGGCAAAGATGGGAAAGAGGTCGCGGAGGTTCTGAAAGACAGGCAGGTTAGAAGCATGAGCAGAACAGTTTTAACTTCAAATGGGCAGCTCAGCTTGGCCAGAACAGTGTGAAGAGGAAAATGGGAGAAGGAATATAAAAAGGGGTGGTTCTCTGTAATGAAGGGATAAGGCGTCTGAGATTGATAGAAGATCATCTTTCTGGGACATGACACAGGGAAGAAAGTGTGGTTGGAAAGTAGGGTGTTGTACCCATCTCAGCCTTAGAGGTGGGCTTTCTAAGAGGATCTGTATAAGCCACTTCAAAGTATTCAGCCTTCCCACTGAAAAAAAATGCAGTAGGTACCAAATTTACCTTGATACCAGAAACCTAATTCTAATACTGTCTATGAAAGACTTTGTATCCTGAGGGAAAGGATATTTAGGAGAGCTCAATACAAATAAAGACTTTAAAGGCCTCTGGTCATAAGGCTGCTGTGGGGATTGTCACACTGCCCACCTGTCCTGACCTGACTGCACCCCAGGTACAGCCAAATGGGCCTTTCTGCATCACAGTGCTCATTCCCAGTGAGTCAAATCCATGGCTGGTGTATGTTTCACATCACAGTCAATGACATCTCAGAAATTTCTAGCGCCTAATACCCAGTCCAAAGTATAATTCAGTTACAGCAAGGAAATCCTTTCCATTTTATGGGATGAATATTTAGGTGATGGTGACTGAGGTTTTGAATCTAACAATGGGACTAGTTGTGTCAGATTCTCTCCTGGGTGACCATACCTGCTTTTTCTTTAATGACAGCCCAGTCCTCATAGCTGTCAATATGCTCCTTGAGCCGGGAACAGAGCTGCACATTACCCACATAATCCAGGAGAACATCAATGATTGGCCCAGCCCAGCGACTTATCTCTGGAGTAGACACCATTTCACAAAACTTCAAGGAAAAACAGATTGACTACAGTCAATGAATGCACTTGTGGAAACAGCAACAATAACAATGGCCCTGACAACTTCAATGGTCCCACCCTTCTACCAGCTGTGAGGGAAATCACCGGTTTCCCTTCAGAAAACTTAAAAGCCTATTCTTTGACAACTGAGATTAGAACCCCATCTTTACAATCCCAGGATGACACAAATCCCTGGTGAAGTCCTAGCTTTGGAGCATGGAAGAATGATGAATTGTTTACAAGTCCAAAGGTCCTACTTCCACAGAAGTGTGAGGGCAGGGGAAAATTGCCCCAAGTCAGTGAGGGGCTGCTGAAAAGTCCATGCAGTCCAGGGCACTATGACCAAGCATTCTGGGTCCCTTCCCCTTCTTGGGAGGGGCTCTGTGGGGCTACCATGCAAAAGGAGGCTTAGGGAAAGAGGGAGATTCAGCAGAGTACAGCACCTCCTGCTTCTTATGAACCCACTAGTGTCTGCAGCTTTTGGGGACCAAACACCTTACTAGAAACAAGTTGGGAGAATGGAAGAAGTCTCTACTCAGATGAATCCCAGGCAGTTTTACTCACTTACGAGAGAACTATCCTGGGCCTAATAGAGAGGCATCTTCCTTACTCAGTCCTGGATCAGGCAAATTTTCTGTTGCCCACAGTGCGAGCTGCAGAATACTGAGCCATTGCATGGTGGGCTGCTTATGGAGATACTGCAGAATAGACTTAAGGACCTGACTTCAGGCAGTCTCATTTCAAAAAAAGTGGTGACTTTTCGTCTCACTTTAATCTAAATATGTATATTATATCAGTCAGCCTCATCT